TGCTTAAAGACTGGTATCCCTAAGGTCGTGGAAGCACAGGCTGAATTCCTCCCTTCCCTCAATGAAATCCTTTCAGCAAGCAGGCAAGGAGCAACTAGTAATCACCACCCAAATGATTAGTAATCCGGTAGATAAACTTTAGGGTGTGGAAAGTAAGTGAAGAATTGGGGAACAGTTAGAATTAATGCCAGAGAAAATCACAAGAAGGGCAGCACTGAATAGATCTAATGGAGGCTGTTGAGAGAAGGCTGACTCCTTGTCAAGCTCATCTGCTCCTTTGGTTACCTACCACTGGCTGTCTCACTCCTGGATCTACGCAACTCCCCTAGCTACCCTTCCCCAGCCCTGTGGGATGTTCCCCACTCATCCTATTCATTCACAAAGAAATACTCTCAAAAATCCATTGGGTGGTGATTACGAGCCATTATCTGCCTGCTGTGCTGAAATGGATACAAGGCAATCTGGAAAAAAGCTTTCATGATGGGCTTAAAAAAATTCCAGTATATCTAGGAGTGGTGTCACTTCTAAGTTGGAAAATCAAAGTCTAGCTACAGTCCTTTCATAATATTGACTTGTTTTGTTTACAAAGGTGTTATATTTCTAAGGCAAATGCCAAAAAAAGTAGGAAAGATTCATTCTTTATCTGAAGGGAGGGAAAAAGAAAAGGGAACAATTTCAACAGTGGAACAGATGGACTCGGATTCAAGGATGGAATGGATTTGTAACATTTTCTTGCTTTTCCCCGTGGAGGGGCCTATTGCTCTGCCTTCTCTATGCTCCCCAATGTCACTCTGCACGATCTCTTGTCTGCTTAACTCGGATTTAGAATTATGGATTTAGAATATAGAAGGTGCAGAAAATTCAATTCCTTGATTGAGGAAACTGAGGCCTGGAAAGAGAAGTGAATTTCCCAAAGTTGGCTGAACGAAGAGCAGAAGTTCGCTTCTTGGTTCCCAGTCCAGTGTTCTTTTCACTCTGCTGCCTTTCTTGATGTTACTTCCTTTTAGTTTTGAAAATTATTTTCATGTATTATTTGTCCAAACTTCTTGGGACTAAAGCATTCCAGTATCTTCCTTTAATAGTTGTATATCATCTACTCCTAATTTCTGGTTGTTATCTTTATGAGGGAGGGGGTCTTGCAAAACATGGAGGATATGCTGATAATTCTACACTACAAAGAAAAATCTATTCTGTTAAGAGCTAGGAATAATTTATTAGAATAAATTTCAGGGGATCACGAATTGCTTGGATAAAGTTCATTTTTGATGATCAATAATATCTGACAAAGGCGGGGAAGGATTTTGAGTAAAGTAAACACACTGAAATGGGAATGATATAATTGGTCTAGGTGCTATTTAAAAGAGCAATTTAGATATAATCTTTGAACCTTGGGTCTTCGGGAAGTGGCATGATGAGGCAGAAGGACCACTGTCTTGGAATTCAGAAAATTAGGGTGGCCATTCTCATTATACAACTTACCAACTGTGTGATCTTGGGTAAACAACGTGAACTTCTCTAAGCTTAATTTCCTTATGCATGAAATGTAAAGAGAAATCTTGTCTATTTCAAAGGGTCGTTAAAAGGATCAAATCAAATAATGTATGAGAGATTGCTATAATTCAAAGATCAGAGACTATATATGCACTATGATGGCAGGAGACCATGTGTGTCAGATACAACAGTGTATTCCCAGCACTTGGCACAGAGTCTGGCACATGATAAATACACAATAAATATGTATTAAATAAATGAAGGCACTGATAGGGAAAATATAATTCTTATCATTATTGTCTTGTTGGAAAAATGTTTAAGGAGAGATAAAGCCAAGTAGAGGAGTGGAGCAGAGGTGGGAGGGGAAAAGAGAAGAAAGAGAGAATGATTGGTGTTACTTCTTTCCTAGAACAGAAGCAGAGGTGGTGGAATCAAAGGAAGGATGATCAAATCACCAATCCCTAAATCTACCCTCTTTCTTTCCTGGCCCCATTCATCCCACCTCTCAATCCAGGATCCCATCACTGATTTTTTTTTCTAAGATTGCCTTTGGGCATCCACCTCATTAATTTCAGTCATCTGACGCCATTACATTTAGTGTTTTTATTTATCTATTTATTTATCTATTTTGCTAAAGAAGATTCATCCTGAGCTAACATCCATGCCAATCTTCCTCTACTTTTTTAGCATGTGGGCTGCCAGCACAGCATGGCCACTAACAGAGCGGTGCAGGTCCACGCCTGGGAACCAAACCCCAGGCCACCAAAGTGGAGCAGGCTGAACTTAACCACTAGGCCACTGGGCCTGGCCCACATTCAGTGTTTTTATTGAGACCTATATACGCACTCTCTTTGGTCATTAAGAACAGTGCTGTTTTGAACTTATACTGGGTGTAACACATTCAGAGTCCTCCCTCTTTGTCCTTTCCTCTTCTCTTAGCCCTCTCCAAAGGCTACAGTGGCCATGGGGAACGACAGAGTGCAGGGACAGCTTGAGAGGAAAATTAGTTCAGTTCGTTTCTTTCTACTTCAAGCTCTGAATGATTCGAGCTAAAAATCCTATGGGATAGGTGTCTAGCTGAGAATGTGTCTCTTTCTGAACTGCTCTTCTTCAATTTTATAGATGTGCTCCATCACACACATAGGAATTTCATAAAAATGCTTTTCTCTGCCGCAGAGGTCAGGGTTTTATGGACCTTTGGAGAACAAACAACACACCCAAACATCAGCTCAACTGCAGAACCATGTTACCCACTGGAACGCCACGTTCTTGGGACTTGGCCAACTTTGGGAACACCCCAAACCACATGGACTTGAGAGACTGGAGACAGGTCACAAAATTAAATCAGTCTAGTCTGGCCAAAAATTCCCAACCTACTTGTAATAAGTTTGAATTAATTGATAGGCTCCCCCTCCCCCCAGTCACACTTGTTACAGTCAATTCAAACTGGTTGTATCCAGATAAAATTCACCTACTTTTTGTTTTCATAAATACAACTGTCAAGAACAAACGAAAACATTTCTATCTGTAACGAACAATGCGGTAATAAGACTTTGGGCCTTTAAGCTTACAGAAGACTAATGAGATAATGTCTAAAATGTGTTTGAGCTTCATGTGTGAAAGGCTCTGAAGAGATAGAAAATATGATAAATAATGCAAGAAATCTTTGTGTCAGGAAATCTGCTGTCTTCTGGAGGACCTTAATAAGTAGTAAATACATACTTTACAAACATGTACCTGCTAATCGTATCTGTCAACTCCAGCCCAGGTAGGTTGAAAAGTACTATTATTCCCATCGACAAAGAAGAACGTTAGTTTCTGCTGAAAGATTTTCCAACAAAATTCCAACATGGTTGTTAGGTAATGCCTTAATATTAAACCAGGCTTCCAACTTCAATTTCAGCTCTTGGTCAGCCTTATCAACATGAAAGCACCAGCCCTAGCTCCCTCCAATTTTCCACTCGATTCAAGCCAAATGCATCCCTGTGGGATTCTCTCGCTGTCCTAAATTGAGAAAAATCACAAAGCACACCCTCTTTGGGGTTCTTGAACCATCACAGTACACTCAACAAATAATGTTCTCAACAGTGACCACATAATGGACTTCAATAACTTACGAGCTCAATTCAATTACCTACAAGCCTTAATCTGCTCCTTCATGCAAGTCCCTTCATTTAAAAGTACACAAAAATTTATTTCTTCCTATGGCATCTTCTATTCCTAACAATGATAAGTAAAGAAACTTTTTTTTTTTTCATGATTTCTACAGAATAACAATGAGACAAATTTTAGCACAGAATTTTCTGATGGGAACTTCACAAACATTTGGCACACACTCTTCTCACAAGCTCCTAAATGCCAATAAATCTCCCATTTGTTTGTTTAAAATTGTATCATTTCATTTTTCAGAACCTGACTTGAAAACAAGCTATTACCTCTTTGAATTCACGCAATCTTAAAAATCTTCTAGAATCATCGAGTTACAAAATTTCTATCAGGAAAATCAAAAAGGCCCAGAGCTGAGAAGAACTTTGATATATGACCTGATTTAGCCCTTGCCTATAGACAGGTGAATTTAGTGAATAAGTATTAAAATTGATGACCTGCGGGCAATGGGCCCCACTTGACGTTTTGAGATATATACAAAGTGGTAAGATGACTCCCTCACCTCAAAGGAGTTTACAGCCCAGCAATGTGTTTCCTGAAGTGCATCCGCATCATTTGGGGGAGAAAGCATAATTGTAAAAAGGAACATTTCCAGTCTCCATCTCAGATTACGGATCAGAAATTCTAGGGATGGGGCCCAAGAACCTGCATTTTAAAAAGCATCCCAGAGCTAAATAGGGGGCCCATCATCCAGGGACATAAAAAAATTGGATCAGCACCTTCTGTCAGAGAACACTAAGTCATCTCTCAGCTGTACCCAGACATGCTTCTAAATTATATTCACCACTAAGTTTGATTGTGAGCTACACATTTTATAATAGAAATCCTTAGTGCAGAAACCTAAAATAGTGATCCACCATTCTCCCTAAAATGCCTAATTCACCTAACATTTAGTTTGGTTTCATTTAGCTCATTTCAGCCTATTTTCTTCCCGTGACAGTAGTGTTCATGAGGAACAGTAATTTTCATAATTTCAAATTTCATAATTTTTCCTTTGACAGAAATACAAAAAACTAGTAATCATAAAGAAAAGTTGAATTCAGAGATATGTGAGATATTTGGACTTTAAGAAAGTAAGTTCCCAGCAGAATTAATTGGCATATAGAGAGTCTGTATAAGACCTAGCACCTTGTATACACAAAAATCACCTGGGAGTGATTATCAATGCAGATTGCAGAAGATTCCAACTGGGTAGAAGTAACACGGGTAACTGAGTTTTTAACAAGCACCCAGTTGATTCTGATGTGAATGGTTTTGAGAAAGCATTCCAGGGGTTTCAAGATTCTCAGCTCTTATATCTGAACCTCTTTTTGAGTCTAAATCAATATATTATACATAGTAGATTGTCAATACATGCATATTTAATTAAAGTAACCACAAAAAGTAACAAACAGGGAAATCCAGTTCATCTATTGAGAGCCCACATTCTGTCAGTCACAGTCAGGGAATCTTGCTTATGTCACAAATTACTGTCCTCCAGAATTAGGAGCCATACGTAGTAAAAAACAACTTAATGTCGGCTTTGCTGTTGTTCCTTTTAGAGAGAATATAAAACATTCTAGTTACCTACTTTTAAAATTAAAAATATGCTGAACAGTGTGTGTGGCAAGGGGGACAGCTGACTGAGGGTGGGGTAAATGAGCGTTATTCTCTGGCCAACAGCAATAATCAGAGAAATATAATTCTGCGGATCATATGAAATGAAGCTAAATGGAATCTGTCCTCGATCTAAGTGTCTGTCCCCCAATCCTGATGTCAGGACTGTAATTTCCCTATTCCCACAGGAATTAATTGTGGACAAAATAAACACTTGTGGTATTATCTAATCACTAATAACTCAGAGAACTGGGATGTTCTCATCTTCACTTCCTTTGAGGGGGACCAGAATATGAGTGTGTTCTGAGTTTGTAAGCTTTCTGAGTCTAGGAAGCCTGCTTCATATATTTATATAACACGCTATTTCTCAAATAGTCTGCAAACCTGTAAAAGGAGCACTGGCTTACTACTTAATGACTTTGTGACCTTGAACAAGTTAGTCAACCCCTCAAAGGCTCAGTTTTCTTAGCTGTAAGATGGGTACGCAGGTTGGTCTGCATTCATGGTCCAGGCTCTTCCCACTCGGCCATGACTCTCCCCACACCACGGTGCCTCACTGAGGCTTAGGATCTGTGGGAGGATCACATGAGATAAGTTTTGAAAAAGTGCTGTCTTAGCTATAAAGCATTACACAGACGAAGTGGATTATTATCAGTCTTTTGTGAAGCCCAACCATAAAGATGCAAAGTGACTCAGAAAAAGAAAACAGGGTAGACAAACCTGAAGTACAACATCTACAGTACCTAGAACATTACCCTGTACATGGTAGGTAGGTGCTTAATAAGTACTGAGTGAGGAAAGAAAAATAGACAAGACAGGTTTGGTTCTCCACCATACCAGGTATGATACCAAGAAGGAATAAATACACCTAAAATCAAGGATAGTTTGATTCAATCACACAAGCCCCAATGCCCCAAGAGCCTAAGATCTTAAATTAAAAATTACTTGATATGAAAGAGTATTGAAATGTAAACTATGACCCACCATCTGCAATGAAATGGTTGTATTCTTACCTCTTCAATCTTTCAGATGCAACCTTGTAGGGATAGCAGAATCTGGGTAAGCTTGCTGAATTTTTTTTCCTTTTATTTGATAGATCTGCATGATCATCCTGGCAATCTTTAGAAGGAACAGCAAATTCTGTAGAATGTTGGGTACCTAAGCTCTGTTTTGGATCTGGAAAGCTGACTTTTAATGATACTCTGATTTTAAGCAAACCAGATTTATCCCCTAAGCCACCCCCTCCCCAACGCAGACACATAAAAGGAGACTGGGGGGGTGTAAATTATTTACTTTATAAAACAGTTCTTTATAAGAGTGCTTTGTGGGTTTCCTAGAATATGTAAATGTGATTCAAATTTAAACGTACAAATTATACTACGTACAACTTTGACACCGACAGCTATTTGTAGAATGAGGCAAACCCATGCTGGGAAATAAATTAAAAGATTCAGGAGAAAAAATGTTTTCTTCTGGGTGGGCCTTTAACTGCACTTCCCCCCTGCCCCCCAGCTTTGCAAATGTATTTTTAGGCTGGGCAACATTTCCAAAGCAAGGGTGGTTTTTTCTATTGTTGAAACAAACAAGTTTGCTTTCAGAGCCACAGAAATGCCTAGCTGTTAGAAAAAACCTTTTCCACTGGCCACTTGCTTCTCTTATCCCTACACAACCTTTCCTATTGACCGCTTTCTCTAGAAGGGCCCCTGGGGCTGTCTGGTGGAACTGATTGTAAAATCATTTTGTGCAGGAGAACCAGTTTCTTCAAAATCTCAGAGACCACCCAGAACATGCCCGATCTTTGGCAAATGTGCACTTGTTTCCTCAGTATTTGATTAGCTGTACGCTGAGTAACTGACCTGGGTTTCTGGGTATTTATTTTAAAAAGAGATGGGGAAAAAGAGATTTAAAAGATGAAGAAAGGGAGAAAATGTCTTCTCTCACCAAAAAATCTATTCAAAATTCATTTTAGGTATTTGTGTTCGGGAAGGGGCAGGACAAGAGAATTCAGTGCAAAGACCTCAACCAAGCTAAATCGTCCAAAACGAGCAAAAGCGTTTAAACTTCGTGTTGAGGGAGTAAGCATTTGCTGGAAGCTCCCTCGCAGGAAAACCTGTCCCTCCCCTCGAAAGCTTCCCAAGGTGGAAGTGTCTCCTGCGCGGATACCTATGGCCGGGAATGCCGGAGCAGGGTCCGCGATGGCAAAGGGAGGCAGGGGAGGCTCCGGGAGAACAGGCCCTGGCTTTGTCTCATCCCAATGTGTTCCTCTCCCCACAGCCTCCTCTCTCACATACTAGGTGCTCAATAAATGTCTGCGGGACGCAGGAAGCGAAAAATCCGAATCCGCCCCCATGCCCCATAGGCGAATTATCCGGAACGCAGGTTTACTCAGACCCACGTTCTCCTCGCGTTGGCTGAGGTCACTCGGCCTCGGCTGCTACGGCCCCAGCAGCAGGAGAGCAACCAGCAAGGCAAGCTGCTGGGGCCAAGATGGAGAGGAGGCCAGAGAGCGAGCGAGGCGGCGCGGGCCGCGAGCCCGGACACCCACCTGACCGCCGCGCGGACTACCAGCCCCGCGCGCCCATTGACAACGAGGCCCGCGCAGCCGGCGCGCGGGGAGGGGCGGGGCGGGGCGGGGCGGGGCGGGGCGGGGCAGGGCGGGGAGGGGCGGGGCGTCCCGGCGCGCGCCCGGCCCCAGGCCCCGCCCCCGCCCGGCCCCGCACGCGCCCACCCAGGGGAGCGCTGGAGGAGGGGAGGCCGCGCCGCGCGCGCCGCCGCCGGCTGACGCGGCCCGGGCGCGCGCGCCTCCTCCGCCTCCCGCCCCTCCCGGTCCCGGGGGCCCGGCGCGCGGCCCTGCTGACGTCAGCGGGCGGCTGGCGGTGCGGGGTGCGCAGAGCCGCTGGCGCACTCGCCCCCTCCCCCGCCCCGCTGTGGCGCGCGCTCGCTCTCCCTTCATTTTTTTCTCCCCTCCCTCCCGGCCTCTCTCTCTCTCCCTCTCTCTCTCTCCCCCTGGAGCTCCCGGCTGTCCGCGGCTCCCTCGCGCTCTCCCTCTCTCTCCGGTAGGCTCTACCGAGCGATGCGAGCTCTGGGAGACAGCGACGCCGCCTCCCGCTAAAGACCTGCCCCCGGCCCGGCCCCCTGCCCAGCCCTGCCCAGCGCGCGGGGGTCGGCGAAGGCGCCGCGGACGCACCGACGGCTGAGGACCGGCGATGCACATGCACTAGCAGCACCCCCTAACTCACTCCCTGCACACCCCGCGCCGCCGCCGCCGCCGCCTCCTCCTCCGGCATCAGCGGCAGAAGGACCCACCCTGCCCCCCACCCCACCCTCCGCCGGCTCCGGCTGCGGCTCTTGCCTCGACTATTATTTTATTTATTTTGGGTCGTGCACCAGCCTCAGTGCCTGCAGCCCGCGCCTCCTCGGACCGCGGGCGCCTCCTCCCTCGGCTCCGGATCCCCAGACCCCGGCCACCCTCGCCTCGACACCCCCAGAGCCCTGCCAGCTACCGCGAGTCTCCGCTGCTGGAATCTTGTTAGCGGCTGTCTTTTTGGGGGTTTCTGGTTTCCCGACATTTTTGTTTTCAGCCAAGGGGAGGATATCGTGATTTTTTCCCCTTTGAGCCCAGGCTCTGCTCTCTGGGGGGGGTGGGGGGCGCGCCGAGCCGGGGAGCCGTGCCAGCCGAGTCGTGCGGGCTGTGGCAGGGAAGGGGCCACCATGGGATGTACTCTGAGCGCAGAGGAGAGAGCCGCCCTCGAGCGGAGCAAGGCGATTGAGAAAAACCTCAAAGAGGATGGCATCAGCGCCGCCAAAGACGTGAAATTACTCCTGCTGGGTAAGGACCGGGCTGCCACCCCCATCCCCCCGACCCCGGCCCCTCCGCATCCCCTCCGCCAGCTCCCCCGCCCGACTCGCTCCCAGGAAGACCTGGTCCCGAGTTGGCACCACCATGTGCCCAGGATCGCCCACCCCCTCGCATGCCTTATCCCTTGCCCCCCCTGTTCCCCTAAGCTGACACTCACCAGTTTTTCCCCCCTGTCTGTCCCAACAGGGGCTGGAGAATCAGGAAAAAGCACCATTGTGAAGCAGATGAAGTAAGTCCCTGTGGCATTGGGATTTGTACTTATATTAAGAATAATTTTTTATCATTTGTGTTACCTTGCTCACTCCACATTGCTCTCCAGGCCCAGTTTTTAATTCGTGCACACACACACACACACACAGACCTGGATTTGACTCCCCTCCCCCACGCCCTACGTTGGTTCTGGGTCCTCCACCCCAACTCCCCGGGTGGGTGTTTTTTAGGGGGAAGGGAAGGGGAGAGCCTGTAGTTGTATGAATGACAGTGTCCGCCATATTGATCAGAACATCACACTATTGGCATGATTATGATCATTACTCTTGCTCGTGGGGTGTTTCGTGTGTATTGATGCCTCCATTTCTGTCTCTGTGTCTCTGTTTCGTTCTATCTCTATTTTTGTCTCCTCCTCCCTCCACCCCCCACTCCACATCCGTAATCCCACTTCCCCCTGCTGTCCTCCTGGGGCAGTGATTTTGAACTTGGCTAAAACATGGAGGGGACCCAGCCCTAGGCTGGGGGTGGAGGATCAAGTGTCTGCTGTTCATGGATTTGGTGCTGAATTGGAGGCTGTGGTTTCTGCCACCTCCCCCCCCCCCACCCCCAAAAGAGGACGAGGGTTAGGCGAAGGGGCATGTGGGAGGGGAGGAGGTGGGTTTCCCAGCGGATGTGACTGCCACAGCTGTATCCAAGGCAGAGGTGGAAGGGGGACGCTGGCTGTGAGGCTGAATGCCCGCCCCTTGCTGCCCCCCCTCTTCCTCCCCCACCCTCCCAGCGTTCGCTCTCCTGACACTGGCAGTTTCCTTCACTCTATGGCCTTTATCAATGTATTTATTTACACTCTGCATAGGCCGTGTTCTGTGTAATCTATCCACAATGCGGATTTCAGGCCCGCTTGCCACCGCCCCCTTCTACCTTAGATATCAGTTTCCCCTCCTAATTAACTGGGGGTGGATTTGAGTGATGGTTGAAAATTAAAACAAAATGGGATATTCCTTCCCTTCCACACTTTCTCAATAAAGAGCCTCGCCCCTCCTTCCCACTCTCGGGCTCGCTTCTTGCCCCATCCGGCAGGTCCTGGAGAGCCCACAGGCGGCTTTGCTTGGGGAGGGGGTGGCCGGCGGGAAAGGGGTGCGTGCCCGCAGGGCCTCCAGGCCCTGCTGCTTCCGTTGGCCTGTCAGTTCGGGACGGAGGAGTTCGTTAAGACCGTTTAGCGAGGGTTCCACGTCGCTTTGCTGTGACACCTTGGTGCACACACAGCTCCTAATTAGGGGTTCCTGTGCAGTAAACAAAAATGATTATTCTTCAACTTGACAGAATAGCCGAAGTAATTGCATCCCGTAGGAAAACAATGGAAAATAAAAACCTCTTTCGTGGAAAGGTGGGTGGGAGACGAAGCATGCTTGCGGTTTCAGAACCAAGATGCAAAAAATCTTGCATGTGTAACAGGCATGACAAGCGGGTTCTAGGCGGCGCCATGATGGTAGGGAGTAGCGACTCGGAGACAATTTCATCCGGCTGCTTGACATGTGCTTATTTTTGTTTGAGAGCTCCCTGGAGCTTTCTTTGCAGAGGCCCCCTCGGCTCGCCGCACCCCTTTGAGCCATGGGTAATTTGGCCTGGGGCTTCTCTGGAGCTTGTGCAACCCAAATAGATGGGGAGGCGGGGCCTGGGGAATTGCTCTTTGCAACAAGGTGCATGTTGCATCTGCCTGGAGCCCTTGCAGGTCGGTAGATGCAAGCAGCGCCGCCCCTTTCTCCCGAAGGGGAACGTTTCAAAACTTCGGAAGGCTGTAATCTGAAGTGGCGGGCTCAGCCGGGTAGAAGCCCAAGCCACCGGAGCTGGGTGAGGTTTCAGGCGTTGCGAGTGGTGGACAGCGCCTAGCCGAGGCCGGAAAAGTCGGTGGGGCTCAGCTCGGTGGCACTCGGCTCGTCTCGGCGCAGGCTGGGCGCGGGGCTCGGAGGGACTCGGCAGTGTTCGGAGCCAAGTCGAGGCCCCGGCGGAGAGAGCCGAGCCGCTTCGGGGGGGGGGGGGGGGGCCGAAGGCGTTCGGAAACACTCGGCGGTGGGGGCGGAGAAAGAAAGGAGGGGATACGCTAGAGTCTGCAAATTAACTTTGCATCTGCCAAAACAACTCCCTACCTGCTTTTCCTGAACAGGCCCCATAAATTAGGTTGATTTAATAGGAAGTTTAAAATTATATACCGAGTCCCCCCAAAGAGTACATCGCATTTTTTATTCAAAGCGTGCTGCGCCCTCTGAGGAGATAGGTGTGCCATTTTAGAATGAAAATTCCTGCTAGTGTACGGGGCAGGAAATCTTAAATGAAGGCTGTATGTAGACCTTCGCAAGAAAGGCTTATCTGACTTGTATTGGGTTACACTGAGTAGGGGGGAAACATCAAGCGTTTGATGTTTGAGGTGGTTGAATCAGATATTCGATCATTTCTTCTCTTTTCCCTGCCCTCTTCTCACTCCCACAGGACGCTTTTTTGCAGAAAAATGTCAGGCAACACTGAGATTTTGTAGGTAAAACTATTAATATTTTTTAAAAAACAATACACCGACTCTGTTTAGGAAGGAGGCTAGTTTGTTCAAAAGGCGGGTCGGAAAGATCCCTGGCCCAGGGCAGCTTCTCCACGAGGGACCCTGGCGTCCTGTCCTCCGGAAGCGTCCATGAATGGCAGCTTCTCCCCGGAGCCCTCCAGCTTGGCTTGAAATAAGTCAGATCAGGGCCTTGCGCCAAACTGGATGCAGGACTTGTTTTATTAACCACAAAATGTGGGATTGGTGTCACTGTATCCTAGTGACAAATTGTTTTGAGCCCTCCCTTGCAGAGATGATTTTACCATTTGCCACTCGACTGAGAGTCGCTTGAGTCAGGAGAACTGTCCTGTGGGTGGGGCCAGGCCCCAAAAGCTAGCTGGCATTTACAGAAAGCAATTTTTGACTTGCCTGTGCCATGCGATTGGTGATCAACCTATCAGGCTGTAGATACGAATTCATTAGGACGCTGTTTTATTTCACCTGGGCGGAGGAAACTAGAGAGTTCTCTGTGGGTGAGGCCCTGGGAGAACTTGCAGATTTCCTAATGGGGACCGGGGTTTAATAGCCCAGCCTGTTGGATTGAGAGGAAGAATATCCATATTCAGACATCTCCAGATCCTTTTTAATCAGCGTTTCCATAAGAGCAAAGAGCCATTACGTTCCGTCTCCATTCTCATCCACGTTGTGGTGTGATGATTAGAAGAACAAATAGGCTTCCGTATAGGCTCGTAGTAACTGAAGTTATATGACAAGGGTCTGGCTCGCAGATGCAGCTTAGAACGAAGTGTTAACACCCCCATCAGCCTAGGAACATTGCTGGGAGACTGACCTTTGAAATTCTTTTGCTTGATACATGTTGTAATAGGAAACTTGCATCCACTTAAGAGATGCCACAGATTAGACCGTCATTTTAAAAGCCCGATTCTGAATATTTTATTAAAAATTTCATTTGAACATAGCTTTCTGTGGTTTTTGTTTCTCTGTGTATGTGATTGTGACTAGTGTTTGGGAGCTCTGTCAGACAATCCAAAACATTTCAGTACTGAGAAATAAACAATGATAATTGAGACAGCACAAATATAATTTTACACATACAATGACTAATCAGTGACTTTTTTTACGTATGGCATTTTAAATAATTTTGCTTCTTAGGAGGTTATGACCTCATCTGTGATACAGCGTCATCATTTTTGCAGTCCATCAGTGGGACTCTTTTAGTCATTTAGACTAATTAAGATTTTTAAAAGGAAGAGTTAATTTTATTTAATTACCAAAACCTTTCCAGAGAAATCTCTTAAAGAATTATATTTTATGAAGTATGAAATCAGCGGAATATCGCTTTAAGTGACTTCCCGTTCTGAGCAAATAGTGACAACTGCTTGGACGTCTACCTGATGAAAATGCAAAATGAACTGTGGAGTTGCCATGGGCACCACAGTTTGCCCTCATTTGAGATGTTGAGTTTTCTGTGCTGTCGTGTTCAGGGTGTCTGTCTTTGGAGCATTAAGTGGACTTTTACGAAGATAGAGAGTTCAAAGGTGGCAATGAGGCATGGCTTGCTAGCTGGTAGGCTTTTCGTAAATGGACACGGTAAAATGGAGCACTTTGGATGTGCCTTCATTCCCGAGGTTCCTGCTCAATGCCATTGTAAAACAAATTTAAGGATTTGCCTGGTGAAGACGTAATTGCTCATACAAATATCTCAGCCCTTACAGTGGGATATGATTCTGAGGACAGAGCCCACCCCGTCAGGGAAGGCAGTTTTAAGACATCACCTGCTGCTGAAAGCTGGTGGTTTCCTCCTACCAGCTGACCCTGACTTTGTAATTAGGCTGCCTCCTGTTTGGCTTAGGTTCAGGGCAAGCTCGTGTTTATTCACCACACTGCTGTTCAGCGCCTACTAAGTGGCAGGCATTAGTGGAGGTGAATGGCAACTTGCAGCCATTACTCTGTAAAAGTGCAGCCATCTAAAAGGCTGTTTCCTGCACATCCCTAAAGGGTCCCGTGTTGAGGCGGGGCTCCACTGAGAGCTACTCCTCTAGCTCTGTGGACTTGTTATTTCTGCAATCATCTTGTTGGCTGCTTTGCCCCGCTCCATTCCTCCTGTCTCCATGTTTATTCAAATGGATGCACCTTGCTCTCTGGAGACAGCATGAGTGCGAACAGAATGTCGGATCAAGTAGCAGATGAGTTCTCCTTTGCTGATGGATGGTGCTCTCTCTCTCCTTACTGTTCACTGAGCTGTAAATACCCGCAGACCTTCCTGCCAGAAGACTAGCCAACAGTCCACCTCATCTCAGGAATCAGCTGTGGAATTCATGAACCTCAGTTACCTGTTGGATTTTGAAATAGAACCTGTCTGCTTGTTGAAAGGGCTTGTTGCTGATTAGGTTAAATGACTGAAACTTCATGTGGGATTGACATGACTCAAGAGGAACCCAAAACTTCTGTCCTCTATGTGTGGGGCTAGATTAGATG